GTAAATGCGCCTACGACCACCTGGAGATCTACGACGGCAAGGATGCCAAAGCCCCGGCGCTCGGCCGCTTCTGTGGAGCCAAAGAGCCCGAGCCCCTCATCTCCTCCGGCAACAAGATGTTCCTCAAGTTCGTCTCTGATAACTCCGTCCAGAAGAAGGGCTTCGAGGCCACCCACACCACAGGTACCACCATGGGGCTGGGGAAACCTCCTGGTTAGGGGCTAGGGGGAGACTGTGGACCCTCCTAACCCCCCCTCCCGCTGTCGGCTTCCCCCGCAGTGTGCGGGGGCCAGGTACGCGCCGAGGTGAAGACCAAGGACTTGTATTCACATGCGCAATTTGGGGATAACAACTACCCGGGGGGCTCGGACTGCGAGTGGGTGATCATGGCCGAGGAGGGCTACGGCGTGGAGCTCATCTTCCAGACCTTTGAGATCGAGGAGGAAGCCGACTGCGGCTACGACTACATGGAGCTCTTCGATGGCTACGACGGGACGGCCCCGCGCCTCGGCCGCTTCTGCGGGTCCGGGGTGAGCTGGGGATGGGGGGAGTGATGGGGCTGGGAGGGGAGAGGTGCGAGGCTGCGGAGGCGATGGGCGAAGCTGCGCCAAGCCGGTGCAGAGAAATCCCTGGGGGGAATTGGGGTTGTACGTGGGGGTGCAACGATTTTGCCCCCTCCCCGTCGCAAATCCCCCTCCCTCGCCACGCTCGCGCATCCCGGGGATGCCCGTGGTCCTGAGCACCCCTCTCCCTCACCCCGGCAGCCCCCGGAGGAGGTCTACTCAGCCGGAGATTCGGTGATGATCCACTTCCACTCAGACGACACCATCAACAAGAAGGGTTTCCACCTTCGCTACACCAGCACCAAGTTCCAGGACACGCTGCACACGAGGAAATGAGGGCCGGGGGTCCCGGCCCCCGCCGCGGGCAGGGGAGGAGGAGGAGGAGGGCAGGGAGGAAGGCGGGGGGGAGCGCAGCCCCGCACAGACTGCACGGAGGAGCACACAGCCAACCTCAGCACTCAGACACGCTCGCACGGGGCCCCGGGGCTCGGGCGCTCGCGGGCACAAGGGCGGAGGGGGGGTCCCCTCTGCCAGCAGGTGCCCCTCCCGGCGCTGGGGGGCCCGAGCGGGACCCGCTCCCCTTCCTCGCCCCGGCCGAGCCGGCCGCAGCTATCTGAATGTACAAACCAGTAACCGGGAAGAGCCCAACACACAGAAGGTGCTGTCTCTCTCTTGTACCGATGAAATAAATACCCTTGTACTTGGAGAGGGGCAGCCCCAGCCTCTTTGCTTCCACCCCAGCCTCCCCCGAGGAAAATGGCATCCGAAACTGGGGCTGGAACCGGGGGGAGAGCACCCAGCACCCTGCAGCAGACCCCCATCCTCAGGGCTCCCCGAGTTGCAGCTGAAGGAGCGGAGCAATCAGCTAATTGCAATCTGCTGCTGCCCTGATGAGGGAGCGGCTGGACCATCTTCCCAGAGGCAGGCGGCATGGCTCAGCGGTGGGTCCCATGGCTCAGCGGTGGGTCCCTCACTGGGTGCTGGGTGTCTGCAGGTAGGTGCTCACCCCACACCTTTTCTTTGCACCCTGTCTCAACCAGGAGAGCATCCCAGTCGAGCCGGCGAACGGCCCCGTAGCAAGTCACCTCCCCTGGTGCGGGGCAGATGGGTGCCACGTGCTCCAGCCACCGCTTGCTGCAGGCACCGCG